CTCGTGTGAGTTCCCCAAGCTTTGGCTCTTGACAGCGTGTGCCTAATACTGTCCAGAGTTAGGTAAGCAGGGTGCGTCCCTCCAGGGAGAGAGGGTGCATTCCATTCCAACAATGTATAGGTGGGACGCATGGAATTCTCAGCTTGGTTTGTAGGCTCTTAAATGGTGATAGGTTTCCGTATGTTTCAGACCCCCGGCTGCCCCCCACCCCCAAAGAAAAAAAGATAGCTCTTCCTCTCCAATCTCTCTGTCCCTCACCTCTCACTGTGTGTACATGGTGAGCAAATGTCCAGCACAGGGTGACAGCACTCAGACAGCTGTGCTTGGCTCACGAGTTGGAATATATGATGAATGGGTGGAATGTGGAGTCTTGCTCCGTCTCATGTTGATGCAAATAACCTGAGTTGTGAAGAAAGGGGAGTGAGCGGGTGAGGGGGCAGGTCATAAGTTTCTTTGCTGAGGATAAACCTGAGCTCGTTGTGTGAACATGGTCACAGCAGAGACGCAGGGTGGGGATGGTGCTGTCCATTCTGGCCACAGTGACCACTGTCTGATCCCTGTTTGCTTTCAGCAAAGCTGTGACCAGGGGGGCAGGGTATCTCCGGGCAGGATGTCACAGTTGGGGAGAGTGGGGGTGTTACCCAGGGGAAATGGGCACCAGTGGGAGGCTCTGGAAACAGATAATTGAACACAGAGGCTGGCTGGAGCTCCTGTTGATCATCCTAAATTTGTCTGGAACTTAGGAACAAATTTGCCCGAGTGTGTGTGGTTGCGGCTGGAAGTGAGTTAGGATCAGACACAGCAGACAACTCCTCTCCTCGCGAGGGACTGTCTCATGTCACATACTTTAAGGGCACCTGCGCAACCACAGCCCTGAGGTGCCAGAGAGCAGTGTTTACAAGAGGAAACACACCTCGCAAAGGAGGGGTAATTGGTAACAGTAATAATACTACTAATAATAATACTTGTATTTAATATACCTTATGTGTCGGAAAGAAGTTGCAAAGCACTTACTTCAAAGGATTTGCTATAATATGTGATGACAGGTGAATGCAGCTGCCAATGTCCCACAAAACTTAATTTCTGGAGGTTTAATGTCTGGGAAAACCAGTTTCCTGACAGTAAAATTCCAGAAACACGCACACTGGTGATCCCCAACCCTTAGCTTGCACCTACCTACGTCTAATTCTTCCCCCGAGTTAAGTAAGCAGGATGTCTCTCCAGGGAGAGAGTGACATTCCATTCCAATACAGGGAAACTTCCAAGTGTTGCTGACTCTGAATATGTGGAACTCTGTCTGGTTTGGATGCTGGTGCGCATGGTGATGGCTTCCCGCATGTGTTTGGCTGATCCTTGCATTTCATATAGCGCTTTATCATGCCTTTGAGACGTGATAAGGCATTATATCAAATGCAAGGATTTGCAAGAACATTCAGCCCCCACACACAGCGGGGACTAGAGAGGTGAGTATTAGAGGGTAGAGTATTAGGGGGAAAAATTTGCTTTCAAAAGCAAACAAGATAGATTTATTTTAAGAAATAATATCTTGGAATACAGTATATAGTTTTGGACATGATATGTATATGTGACTGCCTGGTTGGTGGAAGGCAAATTGGATGAACCTTGGTCTTCTTTCGTCAAGCAAATTCTTACATTATTAGAGGGTAAAGAACCAGAAAGTAGAGAGTATTAGAGCTGGAGCCAGTGTGAGACCGGGGTCTTTCTGCTCTGACTGTTGAGCTGAGCCCTGGTGCCCGGTGCTCTCTGTCTCAGGCTGACAGCAGCTCCTGTTATCGAAGCTCAAGGTCACAGCAGGTGGGAAACACCCTCACCTCAGCCCGTATCTCAGCAGCCCAGTAACTGCTGATTTCTCCGCCTCCTATTTGGCGGTGCTGATAAATGGGCTGGCTGGGCTGGGGGTCTGATACTGTCTGACACTCAGTGAGAGTCCAGTCACACAGTAACACAGAGCCACAGTGGCTGTTCAGGCACGTACGAAAAGCCTGAGCTTTATCTAACTACAAGTATATCCTAATTGGTTCCACCTCCACCACCTTCAGAATCTCACTCCGTCTGTGTGAAGCAATCTTTCCTGATCTCAGTCTAACCCACTTAACTGCCTCCTGTCACAGTGCATTCTCACACAGCAATGTTTTCATGGCTCTTTTTCAAAACAAATCTTCTCCACTTGCGCTGCCGCTAGAATGTGGTCCACAGGCCCGGTTTGCAAGTTGCTTGTGCTCAATGTAAGCAGAGACAAGTGTCTTGTAGCTCGCGGTTCAGGTGTGAGACAGATGTGACAAAGGTACAACGGTGATACAGGTGTCGTCTGCACTCATCCTGTTGCTGATGTACAGCATAAAGGACGCTGGTGTTTAAGTGGTTCTGTCATTTGAAGGCCGGAACTTTCAGTTACAGTGGCCCTGGATTTATGAGGTTTATTGATGAATTGTAATCTCCTGTTGGGGTAAGCAGATTTGGAGTGGAATCGCACAATTATTGTGATTAATGTAACAAATGCAGTTTGTGATTTGGGCCCAAAGTTCCGCCCTCAGAAACGGTTACAGAGACTGATTTGTACATCCTGGATCTGGGAGAAAGTCATTCACTCAGGACCTGCCAGGAAGTCTCCCAACTGGAAAAGGTCTCCCAGGATAATGTGCTAAACTCGGCATCCTACCAGAGAGACAGAGGTCGGAGAGGGATTGTACACACTGAGTAGTTAGCATGTGCAGCACGTCACTGCCAATGGCTGCTCGCATTTAAAAAGGAATTTGAAAAAAAACTCAAAGAGTGAAGGACGATACTTGGGTTTAGGAATCAGCAGATAGCTCCATTGGAGGTGATCACATTGGCACAGGTTAAATGGCATCCTTTTGTTCCGAACACTTTGAACGATCGGTGTGTAGCAGCCGGTCTCTGTGTAGGGACCTGAGGAAGGCTGTCCGCACTCCTGGCCGCTGTCTGAGAGCTTGAATCTCAGCCAGAGGCTCAGTACCAGTTGGGTTTGTGTCTATAACTGGTGGACTTTTATCACGTTGGCATGGATATCTCTCACCGCTGCCAGCACCACTCCTCTCTGCACAAGTTGCTATGGCTGCTCCTTAGTCACAGATAGGGAATGTGCCCACTGTTTACTGTTCTCCCTCTGGATGTCCAATATGCTGGCAAACTCTGAGTGCTGTATAGGACAATGCACAGTCACCAGACATCAGAGGATCCGAATAGCTTCGCTGCAGAGCTGAACACCATTTCCATGCCAGGCTGAAAGTGAGGTTCTAAATATGATGCTTGTCTCTGGAGACTCTGCTCCCAGACTCTGGGTTTCTCCTAACCTCTCTCTGCCCTGTGCTTCCTCTCCTTACCTTGAAGTCTTCTTAGAAACACGTCTCCTCAACTGTGCCTTCGGTCCACACTCTCCGATCCTCCTTTCCTGACTGCTCGGTGAGCCCCCTCACATTGTGAAGCGTGCGGTCCAGTAAAGCAACAGTAAAACTGTTGGTGAACGTTGTGGTGCTCAGAGCCATTAGCTAAGCTCTCATCCTGACTTTGGTTCCCTGATCTCCAGCCTTGCTGCTCCCCCCTGTTTGAATGTCAGACTGAAGGACCAAAGGACAACCTGGTTGGAGCCAGCCTTGGTGTTTGACCGTTACCTGGAAGATGTTGTGAGGCTGTTGCGAGGATTACAGATCATACCCCCTGTTCTACTCTATGTACCAGGCTCTCTGTAGCTAGGAGGTGATTGGGAAACGTCATAATAGCCTCCAGCATTAACATGAAGAACAGCTGTTGCTTTACAACAAAGAGCAAGAACCATGAGCCACAGACATTGACTGTAATGTGGCTCTTCTCCTGACTCACTGGTCAGGATCATAAGTGTGTTATCTGTCTCTCAGCTATTCACAGTCTGAGCGCACGCTAATCTTTGACTCCACAAGCCGTGGGCGTGACTCAATCTGAGGATCGCAGAAGACGCTTTACTTCCAGTAAAGACTGTTTGTGTTCCTCCAGCTGTACATCATGTAGACATTCCCCCCCCACCTACCACCCTATCCTCACCCAGCTCCACTGGCTCCTCAGTGGATTGAGTTCGACAACTTTGTCCTCACTATAAACCCCTCCACAGTCTCACCCCACCCCACTTCTACGACCTTCTCAAACCGTACTGACCTGCCATGTTCCCTCTGCTCAGTAGGCACCGGCCAACTTTACGATCCCGCCCTGTCACCCCACTATCGGCGGTCGAGCTTTCAGCCATTTTGCCCCGCTTGGTATTCCATCCCCCTGAGTCCCTCCCTCCTCGTTCAGAGCCCATCTCTTTCAGTCATGTTTCCCCCTTCCCCATTCATCTCCCAGCCCAGCTCGGGTCCCCAGCCAGGACTGTTAAGCCACTTTGGACGTCCTTCCGACATGAAAGGCACTGTGCAACTGTCAATTGAGATTGTGTTTTGGGTTTACTTTCTCCATCCCATTACTCTCTCTATCCTGTTCCTGTCTCGTTCCTCTCTGTCAAAGGGCCCTGGGATGCGTAAAGAGTGCTATATAAATGCAAGTTGTTGTTCTCTCTCCTGTTACTTATCCTATCTAATGACTTTATATAACAATAATAATCCTTGCATTTGGTATAGCGCCTTATCACGTCTTCAAAACGTCTCAAAGAGCTTCACAGGATATACTGTAAAGTGAATTGACTGTATATTTTGTGGGCGAAACGTGGCAGCCAATTGCGCACAGCAGCGTTCCCACAAACAGTCGTGGATTGAGTGACCAATTTTTAAAATTATTTATTTTGACTTTGAGGGGCAGGGGAGAGAACTGAGGATGGCTGCGATAGTGAGTGGGGTGGGTGTAAAGCACCCCCGCCCTCTAATGCTGTAACATTATACAAAAAGCCTGATTTCCAGAAAAGAAACCTA